GAAGGCTGAGAAAACGTTCTTGGGCAGCCGCGACTGTGTGCTGCGTCTGCGCACACCGGGTCTGTGTGTTGGGTCTGCGTGCGCTGGGTCTGCTGCGTCCGCGCTCTTACTGTGTGTGTGCCATGTCCTTGTGCACAGAAGTGTGCCCACGGTCCCACACTGGGCACTCAGGGCACCGCTCCCCCTCAGAGCAGGAAGTGCAGGCTGCAGACTCTCCTGTCCTGCTCTGTCTGGTCACCACCATGTCCGACAGCATCAGTTTTTGTAACAGCAGGAAAGTGTGTCAGAGGTTGGGGTTCATTGTCATCAGATCTTTTATTTATCTAAAAGAATTAAAAAGTTCCCGTAGTGGTTGAGGTGCTCGACTTCCCATGTCAACCACAGTTCGAGTCTCAGAGCCAGCATCGTGACAGCTACGCCAGCCAGCATGTACGGGCATGCCCGGGACTCTGCGAGGAGAAGGGTTTGTGGCCTGAGCACCCTAGGGGCTCTCCCTCTGCCTCAGTCTCTGTCTCCCTCCTCTCTGGTGCTTAGGCATGTGCCGTGTGACAAAAGCCTAAGAGAAGAGATTTTGGCACGAACTCGTTTGACACTGGCCGGGACACATGTGCTATGCTTACCTCGCGTGGGTCCCTGAGCTCGGGGCTGTGCTCCGTCTTCACGAAACGTGCAAAGCTGTGACTGTCCCTGCCACCTTTCCCTCTCTCCCCCAGACTCCAGCTCCTGGGGATTACAGGTCACTCGCTGCAGGCGGGCTTCCCCCTTTCTCAGCTGTACTCTGGTGGGCCCTGTAGCTGGTGCGAGATTTCCCGATGCTCCTCACGGCTCATTAGGTGGTAAGCCCATGAGTTCTCAGTATTGGAAATTTTATGTCTGTATGTTCTAAAATGCCGTTTTTTTTCGTTACCTATTTCCTATTTTTAAATCATTCATAACAGAGTGGGTACAAAAGCATGTCCATGCAAGAGAGGGAGAGAGAGAGAGAGGCAGGCCCCTCCCCAGGGCTCACGTTTGGGGGAGTAACCCTCCCCAGGACTTGAGAAGGGCACACCCTCCCCGGGGCTCACATGGGATCACCCTCCCAGACTCTGGGACTGTCCCTCAGCCCCAGGACCTAGGCCGTGCACATGTTCCTGGCACGTTCGGAGCTGGCCGGTCGGTACCAGCTCTGCAGACTGTTAGCTGCTGGCCCACTCGGAGGCTGGCCCTATTGTGAACATTTTTCTGAAACTTGTTTATTCCACAAATGAGAGAAGAAGAGGGATAGCTGCACCCCAACAGGGGCCTGAGGCTAGGATACAGCCCCAGCGTGACCAGCCTGCATCGTGGACACGCAGGTGCTGCGAGCCTCCGTGGCCACCGCCCATGCAGGTCTGCCCACAGAGGCCGCGTTTTCCGCTGCACCCTGTCCCACCTGCCTATTCGCTGATCGGATCTCACTCTATCTTACTGGTGAGAGTACTCGTGCACACACGGAGGAGGGCCGGGCCGGGCAGAGTACTCGTGCACACACGGAGGAGGGCCGGGCCGGGCAGGGTACTCGTGCACACACGGAGGAGGGCTGGGCCGGCCATCCTCGCAGGGTCCTGGGAGCCTACAGCACAGCCACTGCTGGGCCGTGGCTCTTCTCAAGCTGGGCCACGGCTCTTCTCTGTGAAGTCTCATCCCCACGGTGCTCCTGTCCCCTTTAGCCGCAACGTGCTCTTAGTCGAGTACTGGGCAGCCCCGACTGCCAGGCGGCCGTCTCTAGCAGTGTGGTCCCTCGCAGCACTGTCACGGGAGCTGACGTCTCCCGGGAACACCTTTAGACGTGTGTATTGGGCATCCGGGTTTTCTTCCCATACAGGGCCTGCTCAGGTCTTCCCCGTTTCTCTACTGGATAATCTGCATCTTTTGGTTTGGAGGAGGAATTTATCGTTCCTTACAGTAAGTGCTTTGTGGGTTACGTTTGCAAATAGGATTTTCTTGTTGTTTTACTCTTAATTTGCCACTGAGAGAGGGAGGAGGGAACAAGCAGCCCAGGGGGCGTGGTTACCCTCAGTCCGTCCCCTCCACCTCTGTCCTGTAGGGGACATGCACTCACACACCTGGCATGGTTTTCAAGCTGCCAGGAGCAAGATTCAAAACAAGCACATGGTTGGTCATGTGGGACCCAGCTCCCTAACCTAGGTCATGGAGGGGAGGACCTCCTTTCACTTTCTTTTTTGAGAGGTTTTGCTATAGGGCGCATGCACTTGCCAGAGAGAGAGAAACAGAGACAGAGAGACAGAAAGCCAGAAATCACCCCCGGGGGGGATGGCCATGCCGCAATCCCTTCTCCATTCTCCTCTCAGGATCTTGGGCACGCACGCACACATACCCAGCGTGAGTTTAAGCTACAGAGTCCAGGACTCAAACGCGGTCGACTACGTGGGAGTCCAGCGACACAGCCATTACGCCAACTGCTGGTCTCACCCTCCTTTCACTTTCTAATGGTGTGTTTTGATGAAGAGGATCTTTCACTTGAATGTGTATCAGTCTTTTTCTTTATGATTAAAGCATTTGGGGACCCTAATTTTAAACAAGCCTTTACCTTTTCATGGTTATGAAGCTGTTCTGCTGTGTCACCTTCCAAAAGATTTCGTAGTTCCATCTCCAGGGTTTCAGGTATTCTCTTCCTGGCATTGGCTTTGCCATGTTGTGGCGGTCGAGGCCCCGGTTTCATTGTTTTCTGTGTGTAAGTCCGCTCACCCCAGCTGCATGCCTCGTCAGTGACCCACGTGTCCTGGCCACCAGTTTCTCATCTCCTGTCATCTCCGACCACACAGCCCTCCGGGGCAAGCCTTCGTACCTACAGGCATGACCCTATGAGCTGGTTACATCAGGGTGTGTCTGAACTGCGCTGACCCTGCAGACCAGTCTGGGAAGAAGTTACCCCTCTGTAATATTGAGATTTACAGACCTGAGTGGGCTCCCCTTCCTTATGTGAAACATATGTTAACATGTATGTTCGTATATGTCATAGTACCGTACACTTCCAGAGAGTCTTACATAGCTTTTGTTATATTTATTTCTAGGTTCTTTTTATTTTGTGATGCTATTTTTACAATTTTACAATTCTGTTTGGATTTCGGAATAAGCAGATAATGATTACTGGATTCCCACTTAGTCAACCAAGGTTCGAGTCCCAGTCCTGGCAATTTGAAACTCACGCCAGGCACATGTGTGTGCATACCCAAGACCCTGAGAGGAGAATGGAGAAGGGATTGCGGCATGGCCACCCCTCTGGAATGATTTCTCACTTTCTGTCTCTCTGTCTCTCTCTGTCTCTCCAGCTAGCACACATGCCCTATAGCAAAAACCTCTCCTAAAAAAGAAAAAAGAGCAATTTTGTTTGGATTTTGTTTTTCTAACTACTTGTTGCATTTAAATGGAAACTCGGCCAGTGTGTGTTAACTTTGTGCCTAGCAGCCTCACAGTTTTACTCATTTATCTGTAGCTGTTTCAACATCCCCAGCCACATGGCCATGTTCTCCATGAGTATGAACTTTCTTCCTATTCTCTTTACTCTGGATTTTTTTTAAAAAGAATTAATTTAATTTATTATTATTACTTTTTAAATTTGCTACAGAGCATGTGCACTCATGAGGGAGAGGCAGAGAGAGAAAGAGAAAGTGAGAAAACAAGCCCCCAGGCCCAGGACTCAAACCGCAGTCCGCCATATGAAAATCTAGCACCGTAACCACCATGCCACCTGCTGGCCTCTGCTCTGAATTTTCACTCCATATGTTCTTTAGTTTTGGTTTTGTGTGCTGCTGAGAGCCTCCACGCAGCTGGGCTGGGAAAAGTAGGTCAGTGCTCTCGCTGTGTCAGAGCACGTGGCAAGGCTGGGAGCCGGCCTGGGTCAGGCTAGACGCTCCCTCCGTGGTCGGTCTGCCAAGCGTCGCATCGGGTATTTACGTACGACTGCGGGTGACCTGACCTCCCTCCGTGGTCGGTCTGCCGAGCATCGTGTCGGGTACTTACGTACGACTGCGGGTGACCTCTGATTTTTCTCAGTGTGAACGGTTACCATAATTTGCTGTCATATAAATGGTCTGGAAGTTCAGATATACTCGATACCGAGAGTCTCCATATATATATTCCAGCCACCTCACTTCTTGCCGCGCTTTGGCAGGTAGTCTCTGGGCCCAGATTTGTAAATGGGGGTGCAGTGCCTGGCTCACAGGGTAGTGGAGATGACATGGGTTATTATAAGTGAGATTTGAGGGCAGCCTCTGCACAAAGCGTGCACCATGCAGTGGCCACAGTAAGGCCTGCTCTTCCTGGGGCGCTCCCGCGTGGGGCCCCTTCATAGCTGCTCTTGCCAGGGCTGCGTGCTGGCCTGGTGTGAAGGTGGATGTGCGTCTCCTCTGTCCCTAGAATTGTCTCAGGCGACCTCTTCCTCGGACATTCGGAGGGATTTGCTTGTGTGGTTATCCGTGCCTCAAGCTTTTTTTGTTGGGCTCCTTGGGCCTCCGACCGAAGGAGGAGCTTCATGAGCTGTTCCAGGACTCGACCGGCCCATCCTCCAGGTGCCCTCTGCACTCGCCAGCCTCCCCGGGGTGGGTGGGACTGTGGTGCCATCGCAGGCTGGGCGGAGGTGCTGGCGGGCTTAGGTCGCTGCCTGTCCTTCTGTGGCCTTGGGAGCCGTACCGTGACATCCCGCATTGCCCCCCCCAGGTGAGCTATGAGCAGGACAGGCGTCACGTGTGCAGCTAGTGGGGCTCCAGGATTTCCCTCTGAGTTGCTGTCACTTTCCCTGAGCCACGGGCCTGAGCAGGCTGTCCACTCCCCTCAACTCCGCCTTGTGAGTTACAGTGTGTCTTGGAACTGGCCTGTTTTGTTTTAGTTTTCAGATTTTTTGGCATAACACTCAATCCTTTAATGACACTTTTATGGCTTCAGAATTGCCAGTTGTGTCCCTGTGGCAGAGGTGGAAGGATTGAGGATAGATTGTGACTGCTCAGTCCTGTTCCAAACTCCTTGCCAGGAGGCCTGGGGAGTCCACCTGCAGACGTTAGCAGATGCTGGGGCCCAGAGGTCGGGGTGCTCCCTCCGTCCCTCTCCTGGCAGTGTTTTTGTGATGGAGGAGGATGGTGTACTGCAGTCTCTCCTCCACCCTCCTCGGGTTTGGGGTACACATGCACATGCGCCCGGGCAGTAGTCAAGTGAGCCTGATCCCTCTTAGGGCAAAATAGGCATTCTTTTCTGATTTCCCTTGGGAACTGATACTTGAGTTTTCAGCCAATTACTAACTTAATAATTTATTTATTTTTTCTTTTTTTGCTATAGGGCATGTGTGCTCACCAGACAGACAGAGAGAGAGAGACAGAAAGCAAGAAATCACTCCCCAGGGGGGATGGCCATGCCGCAATCCCTTCTCCATTCTCCTCTCGGGATCTTGAGCATGCATGCACATGCACCTGACGTGAGTTTATGGCACCAGATCCGGGACTCGAACCACAGTCGCCTACGTGGGAGTCCAGCGACATAGCCATTACACTCACTGCTGGTCCCAAGATCACAGACTTTTAGAAAGGGATTGTGGTGTGGCCATACCCCCTGGGGGGTGATTTCTGGCTTTCTATCTCTCTGTCTTTCTGGTGATTCAGAATTGCCAGTTGTGTCCCTGTGGCAGAGGTGGAAGGATTGAGGATAGATTGTGACTGCTCAGTCCTGTTCCAAACTCCTTGCCAGGAGGCCTGGGGAGTCCACCTGCAGACGTTAGCAGATGCTGGGGCCCAGAGGTCGGGGTGCTCCCTCCGTCCCTCTCCTGGCAGTGTTTTTGTGATGGAGGAGGATGGTGTACTGCAGTCTCTCCTCCACCCTCCTCGGGTTTGGGGTACACATGCACATGCGCCCGGGCAGTAGTCAAGTGAGCCTGATCCCTCTTAGGGCAAAATAGGCATTCTTTTCTGATTTCCCTTGGGAACTGATACTTGAGTTTTCAGCCAATTACTAACTTAATAATTTATTTATTTTTTCTTTTTTTGCTATAGGGCATGTGTGCTCACCAGACAGACAGAGAGAGAGAGACAGAAAGCAAGAAATCACTCCCCAGGGGGGATGGCCATGCCGCAATCCCTTCTCCATTCTCCTCTCGGGATCTTGAGCATGCATGCACATGCACCTGACGTGAGTTTATGGCACCAGATCCGGGACTCGAACCACAGTCGACTACGTGGGAGTCCAGCGACATAGCCATTACACTAACTGCTGGTCCCTAACCTAATCATTTCTAAGCCCACCAATAACCTGCAAGCCCCCACTTCCAGATGCCCCGCCTTTCGGGGTCTGGTCAGTGCATGCCTCTGCTGACGGGCAGCTCTGTCCATGCCGTCCACTGTCAGACCGAAAACCGAGAACCACTGCATGTGAGCAGGCCTAGGCACCCCTGGCCCTGGGCCCGTCACTCCTGTCTGCGAGAGGCAGCCGTCTCAGTGGCTCCTGCAGAGCCTTGGTGGTTCCTGTCCACAGGACCATCGCCTCCCTTTGAGCACGACCAGTGGCCGGAGACACAGACTGCCTGGAGGAGAGCCCTCGCCCTCACTCTGTCAGCTGTGTCCACTCACCCGCAGCCCTGGCCAGTGTGCAGGCAGCGGGCACGGGGCCTGTCCCAGCCTTCCTGCCCACGGGGCGCCCCTCTGGCAGCCCATCCCAGGCCGTGCAGAGGGCTGCCGGGACTGTCAGATCTTTATGGGGCCTGGACACCTCCCTGCCGTCCTTCTCCCTCCCCAAGGGGGCGCTCTGCTCCAGTGGACTTGACTTCAGTACTAACGCCTGGGTGGGGGAGCAGCCGCCTGGAACGTTCTCTGTTGGCCCAGGTTAGCAGTCCTTTCCAAACTGACCTTTGTCCTTTCCATGTCCTGACCAGCTGACATCGACAATACATGAATGCTCTCCAGCCCACCCGTCCTGTCTCTCTGCTTCCTCAGCTCACCGAGTGGCTGTGCTTGTGCCTGGTCCCAGTCCCAGAGGCCACTCTGTCCCAGGAATCCCTGCCACTGCCGCGCGCAGGCCCCTCTCCCTCAGCGTCTCTGCGGGTCTCAGGCTGCAGCTGCCTGTTCCAGCACACGTGCCTGTGTGTGCTCAGCACCTTGCCCCACCAGACCTCCAGGAGCTGTGGCCCTGTGTTCACTTGGCTGTTTCCAGGCCGCTCGTGAACTGATGCCACTCACAGGAAGTGTCCCGTGGTCACTGAGCGTCCAGAGTGGCTTTCCTGACTGTTCGCTGGACCATCATGAGCCTCGTCTGTGCTGGAAAACGTGTCGTGTGACATGCCTGTGCTGTGTCCTCCCTGTGGGAGCCCACGTCCCCGGGGAGCATTGGCCGGGTCTCACGTTACCACATCTCTGGCATTGTTCTGTCCTTGGGGTGCTGTGGGCGTGCAAGATGCCATCGTGTTCAGCCCACTAGCCATTCGGGCGGGGCCCTGCCTTCTCAGGTTGAGTGGCCAGCCCTAGCCCAGCACGGGCGTCCGAGGTTTCCTTGGGCAAAGGTGATGTGGGGTCCTTGGCCTGGGAACTCTGGTCAGAGAAAGCCCCTCCCCGGACTCATCCCCAAATGTCACGCCAGCTGGCCAGAGGGTGTGACTGCAGGGACAGTTTGCGATTGAGGACAGGAGGCCACAGTCTGACATCTTTATTCACCACTTTACCAGCTGGAGACAGCGTTAGCAGACACACAGGGGGCACTATGCAGACAGACAGACAGACACGAGCGGCTTCACCAAGTCTGCCAGCCAGGCCCAGACAGACCGTCCAGCGAGTGACACCATGCCATGTGCTCTGCGGAAGGACAGCAGGTCCACCCCACACCACCACATCTTGGCGAATGCTTTCAGGGCCAGGACGCCCCTGACCTCCACACCCTCAGTGATAAAGTGAGACGCTCCGCTCTCCCCGTGGGTAAGACAGTGTAAAAATAGACTGCATATATATATATATATAAATCTGTTTCCCTTCCTTGAAAAAAACCTAGTACAAACTAGTAGTATTCGCCCTTTCAAGTTTCTTCTGAGTTATGCAGGCTCCTTTGTCGTTGGGCTTAGATTCATTTGTTAGGTCTAAGGACAAGGGAGGTCCCTGCCGCGTCTCGGAGCACCCTCCCGTCACCCGTCACGGCTCCTGGGGTCAGTAGTCAGCCGGGGGAAGGGCTGCTCGAGATCAGCACTGGAAGGACTTGTAGCCTGTCAGGACTTCACAGTACAGCCGACCGTCGGCCGGGGCTATTGGGACAGGTGGCATGCATGTCCCCTGTGGCATGCGCTGCAGCACAAGGGGTAGCCAGGTGCCCACAGTGACCGGGAGGGGGAATAAGCCAGGGGGACGCTAAATATCGCAGGTAAGAGGGCCCTGGTGCCTCTGGCTCAAGGCCCTGCCAGCTATGGTGCAGAAGCAGCTGGCATGTGACCCTGGGTGCGGCCGGAGCCAGGAGCGCTCAGTTCATACAACAGCGGGCCCTGCCCATGGCTGCCTGCACCGGCCCCACGGCTCCGGGGAGAGGAGGCATGCCAGCGAGACAGCCCTCCCACGGGGGCAGCACGGGCCCTCAGCTAGTCTGCCACCAGGAGCAAGGCTGAGGCTACGAGCCGGTGTAAAAGTGCTCCAGTACACACACTGCTTCGCTGTGGTACTTTAAACGTGTAATTTGCACTTTGATTTTGATAAAGCTAATTGTTACCACTACCTAGTTGCTTATCCTGTAGCATTAAATAGAAATGAGTAAGATTGCTGGTGCGGTGTTCTTAGACACACTCCTGCCACTCAGATGCCATCACCTGGCCTCTCTTGGCTGGACACGACTCCTGAGTGTCTCCGGTGGGACCTGGCTCTGTCTCCTGTGTATCCCCAGTGGGACCTGGCCCGACTCCTGCGTTCCCCGGCGGGACCTGGCCCTGTCTCCTGGGTGTGAGGCTGGGCAGTTTGGTTATTCACAGACGGATGCTGAGCCCTCCCCACTGTGGTTAATAAGAGCTAACTGGCACTGCATAAAACATGCAACAAGGACAGTGCCTGCTGAGTCCTCGGAATACCCAGAAACATGGGAACCCGCGTGTCTGCAGGTGAGATGCAGGTGGTCCGTCCTCACAGTCACACACACGCTAGCCCTGCTCCCAGGTGATGCTCACGGGACGGCGCGACCACTCAGACCTCACGACTGAGCTGCTGCTCCTCCATGCTGGGTGCCGGTGGGAAGAGAGGGAACGGCTCAAGGGTGCAGCCCTGGCTGTGTGCATGTGAAACCTGGGCCTGTCCGACACACCATGCCAGGTGCGCAGTGCTTCCCCGTGAGCCAGGTGGAGGGGGAGCCTGGGGTGTGGGTTCTCCCTCCAGGAGACCTAGGGAGCCCCAAGCTAGGATGGGGAGGGCCACGGGGAGGGCCATGGGTTCTTGGTCTCAGAAACCAGAGCTCGGACAGTGACCAGGCTGTCCTGGAGTGTCGTTGGCAGTGAATGCTGCTTCTCTAAGGGGCACAGCTTTGGGGCTGGCTGTGGGTGCTGTGGTGTGCCTCAGGCCAGGTGTGCACTGCGCCCCTTGGCTGCACGGTCCGGCTCCAGGGCAGTGCTGACCACATGGGCCAGGTGGCAGGTCTGTGACAGGAGCCTCCCTGTGAGGTGAGTGGGCCCTGAGCATGGGCACTCATGTTCAGCTTGGGTCCGAGTTCTGAGGGTGCGCCGAGGCAGGCTCACCCTGGCTTGCTTGGTTAAGAGCTGGTTGGGGGGGGGTCCCACATGCCTGAAGACGCCCCCCTGGTCAGGACTGTCCTGGCACAGCAAAATCCCAGGGCTTTCATGCCTGCTGCACAGGGTGTGAGCCCCTGCAGTGGTGCCCTGGCCTGACCCTCTGCATGGACTGGGCACACAGCTCCGGCCGAGTCCCTGCAGGATCTGCGTGCTCTGTGTGGCGTGGCTGTGATGGGAAAGGACCAGGCTAGGCACAGGCAGGACACAGAAGTGCAGCAGGTGGCGAGCCCACATGGCAGGACAGGGGCAGGCATGAGGGAGCAGGAGCGAGGTGGGGCCTGGGTCCTCACAGACCCAAGAGGAGTCCTGCTCGGTGGCCACTGGTGACAGTTAGCCTTCTGAACACGGGCTTTCAGGTGGCGATGGGATTTCTGAACACAGTGCATGCTCAGAAGGGTTTCCAGACACTGCCCATGTGTCCCTTTCACAGACTCATGGTCTGGTGGGGCACTGAGGCACACAGGCCTGGGTGGACACGCCTGCCCTCTCCACCCAGCAGGGTGATGGCCTCCACAATGTCCTTGAGGCCTGCACCTCGCTCTGATGGGGTCTGACCCGGCACTGCTTCAGAAGCTCCCAGCAGCCCACCCTGCTGAGGGATCTGGCAGAGACCCGTCCTTCAGGGTGCCAGTGAGCTGGGGGCTCTGCCTGGCCCCTCTTCACTCGGCCTGGCGCTCTCCTGGCCCAGAGGAGGCAGGCAGGAGGTAGGATGGCCAGGAACTGGTAGTTGTTGGCCAGCGGCCACGTCACACTGCTCCTGGACACACTTCCCCGGGTGGCCTCGGCTCTCGCCGGGCTGGCCCTGCACGAGGCCAAGGTGCAGATCGCCATGGAGACCCCTGTGAGGGGGTGGCCGGCACTGGGGCCTCCCAGTGGGGGGGTGTCTGGCCCTCACAGGTGCAGACAGCTGTGCCTTGGTGTGGGGCGGGTGCACTGGACAGTCTCTGCTTTGGCTCCCATGCTGGGCGGCCCCTGAGGACAAGGCTGTGGCCTGGCATCTCCCTGGGACTCGGTCTGGTCTCCCACACTTTGGGGTACAGGGAGGTTGCAGAGGGCAGAGATGACAGTATGGGCGGGAGGTTGCTGACAGGGTGTGCCAGCAGGAGTGCGACACCACACCCAGGAGTCCTGTCTAGTCTCCCACCCCGGTGACAGTGGGACAGGGCGTCCTGAGCCAGGCCCCCGTCTCTTCTTACTCCTGGGCAAGCTCTGCAGCAGACCTGTCCACCCCGAGCAGCCATCCGCCAGCCGAGAGCTACTGTCCTCGAGCCTCAGCACAGCCATGCACAACACAGGGGTGCCACATGCCCCACCCAGCCCCAGGCGGCCTTGACTCTGGGGTGCACGGGTGGGCCTGGGCCCTCACGGACACCGTTCTGGCCCTGTCCTGGTAACTGTTTATCTGTGCTGCCAGTCAGCGCCTGCAGCCTGCGGGCTCTGGAAGCGTCTGCCGGCCAGGAGGCCAGGGAGGTCTCTCCCACGGCCTGGGAGCCACAAGTGCCCCTGCCTGGGTGTGACAGGAGATGCTTCGAAGCCCACTCCTACTCCCAGGCCGGGGCAAGGTGGGTATGTTCGTGGGGTCAGAGAGTCAGGGTCTGAGAGGTAATGTGGGGGTGTCAGGGTGGGGGCCTGGGTGTCGCCCCAATCCATCCAGGCTGAGAACCGTCTGGTTTCTGCCCTCGTGAGCGTGGATGGAATGGATGCGGACGTGATGGCGGCGGCTCCCACGGCTGCATCTCGGCGCCGCCCCGGGGGCTACTTGCCCCCCTGCACCTTCTGGTCGTAGGTGCCCGCGTGCTTGTAGCCCGGGACGTAGCCCGACTCGTCCACCAGGAACACGCGGCCTGCCTTGCCCCGGCCCCTGCCCGACGGGTCGAAGCGCTCCTTATGGGAGCCGGTGAACTTGGTGGTGTCGGTCAGGCGTGACACTGTGGGCGAAGAGACGGCCTTCTGGAGAGGAGGTGGGGAGGGACAGGGGAGAGGCGGGCGTCAGCTGGGCAGGCGAGCAGCAGGCAGGAGGGGGTCCTGCTTAGCAGCCCTAGGGCAGCCCAGGTCTCCAGGTCTACACCCCAACCCCGCATCTGCATGCTCTTGCGTCCTCCCAGTCCCAGAGACCCCCATGGCCGAAACCTGCCCAACTGTGCCCTCCGGGGCCCAGGGTCAGGACACCCAAGGCCTTCAGGCTGCTGTCCAGTCCGCCAGGCTGCCCCGGTCCCCATCCTCGACCCCTCCTCCCAGACCACGCCCGCCAGCTCACCGTCACCCCAGAAATGACAGGCGCCTTGCCCTCCACCAGCCGGTGCACCTCGCGCACGGCCTCCTCGCTGCTCTTGTCTTTGAAGCGCTTCCTGGCGAGCTCCCCCAGAGCCTCCTGGAACTGCTCGAAGGTGATGGTCCGGCAGGACTTGCCCCTGCGTGGACAGGCAGGAGCCAGATGGGGTGCATGGCAGCCAGGCTGCCCTGGCGTCCACCTGCTCACAGCTAGCACCCCGCACACGCAGACAGTGCCCGGACAGGGCGAGGGAAGCACGCCTCTATGCACGTGGCACCGGGCTGCCTGTTCCGAGGTGCGGGCCTGTCCTCCACTCTTGGGGAGACCCTCCAGAGAGAAATCAAAGGGTGCAGGGAGGCGCTCGGGCCTGGTGAGCCTGAGGTCAGGTAACCACCACAGGGCATGGGCCTCCCGAGACCCCCAGGCATCACAGCTCGGATCCCAGCACTGACCCGAGAGCTGAGCCCTTGAGCCATGGAGGCCCACCTCACCCCCGGCAGGGCTCTTTTCACCTTTGGCCATTTAGTGAGAACTCGTCCCCAGCCACGATCAGGCCGCGAGGCAGGGTCTACGAGCTACGCTCTGCAGGCGCTCCTGCAGCTGGCCGTGCTGGCTGAGAGTGCCCAGACCAGGGCACGCAGGCGCTTCTGCAGGTCGGAGGGCAGAGGGCCACCCATGGCCAGACACGTCGGGAAGGAGAGTGTGGCCGGGGTGACACCCAGCCCCCAACCCCTGCAGAGCTGCCAGACGGCACTGCGTGCTGTGGGTCGGCAGGCCGTGGGGGTCCCAGCCCAGGCGGCCCACACGCATGCAGCCAGGCGGTCCTGCAGGGTGCAGGTGAGGCAGCAGGGGACGGAGGAGGGGGCCTGTTCCTGAAGTGGATCTGGGACAACTGCTGACCCCACACAGAGAAACGTGTCCGTATACCCTGGGACCCGACCACGTGCTACAGTGACCCGGACTGCCGTGGCTAGGCCGACCGAGACAGACTGCAGAGCACCAAGAGGGTAGCTCGGTGACCTGATCAGGCAGAGGTTCCTTAGAAACGACCCCAAACAAGTTCCATCCTGGAGGCGGCGGACACACCAGCACCAGCAGGATCTTGGAAGCTGCGTCTTCAAAGGGTCAGGTCAGGAGCGTGCACATGTGGGCCATCGACTGGGGACGTGAGACCCTGCCTGGAGAGGCCAAGGACCCCCAGCCTCCACAATAAGGAAGAAAGAGCAGTGTAAAAGGTAGAAGACCCGCCTCCCCAGCCCAGGAAGCATCGCCACGTCGCGGTCACCAGGGCGGGTAGGTGGACGCCGAGACCATGCCCACCAGGACGCTGGAGCAGGCGAGGAGTGGCCTGCCACCACACCGGGGACGGGTGGAGGTGGCCACGCTCACACCCATAGCCGCCTTGCTGCCAGAATGGGCACAAGCAAGCCCGTGGCCCCACTCAGCGCTTGCTCCGAGTGGGACGCCATACACACGTGGTGCTGTGTTCGCCCTGTCTCCTCCTCACCTTTCCTGTTCCCGAGGGGTATGTGACGTGCACACAAAAGAGAGAGCTCAGCTCCAGGACCTGGCCACGCACCCGCCCCTTCCTCAGCCCCCAGCCTGGGGAATCCCGGGGTAGCACATGTGCAGGCATGTCAGGGCCGACGGGGCAGGCTGGGGCTGAGCCAGGCTGAGCAGCGTGCTCCCACTCCACTGCACCATGGAGCGCCCACCAGGGTTACTCGCAGTCTTCAAAACCTGTGTCTTCCAGCAGTGACCAGGTGGCATGCCAGGGGTGCTGCTCGGGCAGACAATGAGTGACACCAGGCGTGGCCATCCCATGGCATCCACCAGGGAGGGGGCTCTGCCCGAGGGGCCATCCCCCGTAAAGATATACGCAGGGCAGGGTTCCTGGAAGCACAGACCCTGAGAGGGGAGCCACGGCTTCATGCTTGGGCTGGAGGAGGCAGCGCAGCACCGAGTCCCGTGGAGGACTGGATGGCCGAGCAGAGCTGCCCCAGCATATTCTGGAACCTTCTGTTGTGGCGACTTGGTGGCTCACCACATTTGAAGCTCAGCCCTGACAGCAGCCACATTCCCCGTGACGCAGAGTGGACGGGTGTGCCAGGCGGGCACACTGGGCAGCCATCCCAGGTGGCAAGGTTCGGGCCAGAACTGGGAGGCGGCCGTGCCCGCAGTGCCTGGAGCCGACAGATAGCGCAGCCTTCCCCCTCGGCCTGTACCCCTTTGGGGCCATGGGGCTGTTTGTCCTGGGTCATCAACAGCGCTCCTGTCTCTATTCATGGCCCTGGCCAGGCTGACGCTGGATGCCAGGCCTGACAGCAGCCTGGTGACCACTGGAGCACGAGCCGGATCTGGGCGGCCTCGGCACCAGGCACTGCCAGCTGAGTCACTCGGCTCAGAGAGGGGGACGGGGACGGGGCTTCCCCATCAGAGGCCACATTCAATCAGGGTGAACACATAGGCCTGGGGCAGACCCGCTCCGCCCACGCGAGCATCCCACTGTGCCCTAGTCTCGGCCCCCAGCCCAGGGCATGCTCTCTGCGGGACAGCTTTCCCAGAGAGTTCTAGGACAGCAGTACCATCTCTGCCCCGCCGACGGCTCTCCCAGCATGGGGTGTGCCTGACCTCCAAGCCACCGGATGCCCGGGAGCCTGGGATCACTGCCCAGGTCTGGTTCCCTGGGCTCTGGGCTGAACAGAGCCCATGAGGGGCCCGACCAGGGCGGCCTGGAGTGGGGCTCAGGCCAGCTCAGCTCCAAAGGCTTTGAGCCGTGTACAGCCCCCCTAGCCCCTCTGGAGCACACGGTGGCACCTCTGCCCGGGGGGTCAGAGGAGACCTGCTGCTCAGGCTTCAGAGACCTGCAGAATCTGTGGTCCAGAGCTATTACCGAGTGATCAGTCCTGGCTGGTCAGGTGCCACTATGGGCAAGAAGCTGGCAGCTGTGGTGGGGCCTACAGGGGGATCAGGGCTCATGAGGGCTCCCTAGGGCAGGAGCCTCTGGGCATTCCCTTCAGCCCCGGGTTGAGACCAGAGGGCCAGTGAGGCCAGGTGTGGGTGTTCCAGGGTGGCTCCTGCCTGTGGCCGTGCAGCCTCAGCAAAGCCCACTGGAAACTTGGGGTCTGTGCATGAGCTGCCTGGGTGGCCTGGTGGAGGAGTCTGACCCGGCGAGGCCCCAGGATC